CATTTCTTTAAATGTCTTTCAGCCATTTGTGTTTCTTGTTTTGTGAATTCTCCCACAGTGAGTTTTTAAACTGAATTTTCAATGAGAATCATGATGATCTTATATGGTTCCCCTTCAACAGGGTGGAGTTTCAGAGACCCTGACTGTAGAAATTAGGTAAAAAGAAAATCCAGCTGTTGTCGAAATAATGGGATTTCCCATAAGAACATCTCTTGACCTTGAAAATGTTAAAGTAAATGAAAACGGAGGTGAGGGCAGAAACATCCTGGAGTGAACACAGCGAGGCAGCCTCGCCAGTGGCCCCGACAGTGCTTGGTGTAAAAGCATCCATAAAACGGAAGAGGGGGAAGTTCATTCTTTTGGTCTTTTGTGAAGTCTTGGAAAGGCCTCCATTAGAGAAAAACAGAACATGAGCTCAGCCAATCAGAAGTGGTCAAGTGCTTTGTGTGATTAGGAGACAGACCAATAAGAGAATTCTATGACTGTAAACAAGTGTTTTCTATTTTTCCAATATTCTCTCTCTCTCTCTCTCTCTCTCTCTCTCTCTCTCTCTCTCTCTCTCTCTCTCTCTCTCTGTGTGTGTGTGTGTGCATGTGCAAAACTTTATGTTGTATGTGCACATGTGTGGGCCTGTAAATGAGTGTGCAGAGGTCACTCTCCTCTTTTTCCCTCTGATATAGGGTCTCTCATTGACCTTGGAATTGAACTAGCAAGCCACAGACGTCCTCCTGTCTCTATCCTCCACATTGCTGGGGTCATTGCTATGCAGGGTCACACCTGGCTTTTCATGTGGGTGCGGGGATTTGAACTCAGGTCCTCATGCTTGCATAGCAAGTGCTTTACCCACAGAGCCGTATCCCTTGCCCCTCTGTTTTAGTCTTTATACAAATCTCTTTGGCATGACCCATCTATTTCTGGTTTGGATCTGTTAATTCATGAACCATTCTTTTACTCAAATGAACTTTCAAAAAGGGTGTTTAAAATTGTGCCTCAGTTTACCTTAGAAATAAACAACCAGCGAACTGGGATCACTTAACAATTTAAAAAATTCTGCAAGCAAGTCAATATACATATATATTTAATTGCCAATCTTCATTGTCTACTCAACAGGATTAAGAATCACCTAGGAGACACAGGGGAATGATAGACACAGGGGAATGATATATACATAATTTATTTTAACTTTATTTTATGTGCATTGGTGTGAAGGTGTCAGATTCTGGGGAACTGAACTTACAGACAGTTGTGAGCTGCCATGTGGGTGCTGGGAATTGAACCCAGGTCCTCTGAAAGAACAACCAGTGCACTTAATCACTGAGCCATCTCTCCAGCCTCGAGATGGTTGATTTTAATGTCAGCTTGTCACATATGGATATATGGATAGACTGATAAGCTATTGATACATAGATGATAGATAACATGTAGATGGTAGGTAGATCATCAGAACATGCAATTTTTTGCTAGTTGTTCCTTTGCAGCCACGAACAGGGGAAATTCATTCTTTTGATCTTTTGTGGAGTCTGGGATTACTTCACAGTAGCACAGGTTACTGTGTTGAGAATTCTCCTACTCTGGGGAGTCTAATCAGTTGCTTTGAGTTTCAGCTTTTCTATATTTAAAGTGAAGAGAAAGAAGGCAACGCTTCCAAGCCGCCCTGCAAAGGTGTAAATGCAAACAAGGCATGCCTTTGAGCACGCTTTTGATGCCAGGTAAAGCATTCTCTTTCTGGGAGACAAAGATCCCGGTGTGCTGCCCCATCTCTCTGTTCTCAGTCTCTCTCTGACATCGCTGCTTTTGGGGAAGAGTTTTTCATTATTTCTTATGCTGTCAAGATGACAGACAGAAAGAGGAGATGAAAGGGTACGTTCTCATAAAGATTTGCTTTCCTTCCAGCTAAAAGGCATCACTTACCCTGCTTGGTTTTTTAAATTTTAAAACATTTATCAAAGCCCTATGTGTGACTTTAAAATCAAATAGAATCATGGGGGTTCTAATGAGACCCAGTCTTCCCTACACCCAGATCCTTTTCCTCACTCATAACTACTGTGAGCTTCGTCATTGTGGTAAGTTATATGCAGCCTAAACTTACTGTGATAACCACTTTTAAGTGAGAATTTGAGTGGCTTTAAGCAATTGGAAGTATCGTAAAACCTCCAGCACCATCCCCCGAATTAGGGCTCTATCCCAGTGAACACTCTCCCTGGAAACCCTTAGTTTTAGTTCTGTAGTGATAAAATGCCTCGACCCAAAGCAACTCAGGAAAGAAAGGTTTTGCTTGGTTCACAACTCCAGGCTGTGAGGATGTCGAGGCACGAACTGAAAGCAACACATCTTCAGTTAAGAGCAGGGAGAATGAGCACATGGATCCTCACTTGCCTGCCTGCTCTTCCTTTGTACTGTCCAGGGGCCCTGCCTAGGGAATGACGCTGCTCACAGTGGGCTGTGTTCTCCTGTACAGACATGCCCACAGACCGATCTGATTTTAGATGAATCCCTCAGTTGAGGCTTTTCTCCCCAGGGGATTCTGAGTTGTGTCAAGTTGACAGATAAACCAACCAGGACCATCTCCGCCCCTACCATTTTTTCTAGAGGAATTTGATGATTCAAGGTGCTGCGGGCCACAGGGAAGTATTATAAGAACTCCTCTGGTTATGGCAAAGTCACTATCTGAAGGGATCAAGGAATTCCTCCAGAGGAAGCCAAATTCCAAGGAGCTTTTGGTGTTACTTGGCTTGTTATATATCAGCTGTCTTCTGTTAGGAAAATCATGTGTGCCTTCATAGTTTTCCCATTGACTTTTCCCTAAGAAGGGCTAACAGTGTGGACTGATCACTCTCTGGACATACACATTCCAGGTATTTGGAGAACAGCCTCAGGAAATGCTTCTTTCCCCCCAGCCCATCCATTTCTCCCCCTTCAGCACTGGAATCAGATATCTCCCTTAGCCACTTTCAAGGACTAACAGTAATAACAGTCCACATGCAAGTCTCCTGATTCCACAAGGAGACACTGCCTAGGTCAGGCGGATGTTAAGTAATTGCTTTTACACAATTTAGCTTGGACCCTTCTTTCTTACAGCCTTAGTAACTTTATAGACCCATAACTTCTTACCTAACCACTTCTCGGAATGTAGACTGAGCACATAGATCTCCTTTTTCATATAGTAACCTGTCATTAGCACTCAGTTGACCTCCTCTTTTTTTTTTTTTTTTTTTTTTTTTTTGAGACAGGGTTTCTCTGTGTAGCTTTGCGCCTTTCCTGGGACTCACTTGGTAGCCCAGGCTGGCCTCGAACTCATAGAGATCCGCCTGGCTCTGCCTCCCGAGTGCTGGGATTAAAGGCATGCGCCACCACCACCCGGCGACCTCCTCTTTTACCACTCCTGTTTTGGCTTGTAAAAGAAAGCCTGGTGGTCACTGCCTGAGGAAAATTCTTACCTACCTTTATGTAGGTAAGCCTGTAGAATTCAAGTCTGGTGACCTTGCTCAGCCAGAGGATTGCTATTGCTTGGGTTTATAACTGGATTCCTGGGAGACATAGGAGGAACGTGGAGAATGGAGAGATGGAGAACGAAGAGGGATAAGGAGGATTTTGACTAGAGAGAATGTGTGGACAAGATGGAAGATGAGGAAGAGTCAGATGGGGAAGTACTAGTAGGGTAAGAACGAGATGATAAGGACCTAGATGAGGCAGAATCAAGATGAGAGAATTAAGATAGAACTTAGAGGGAGCAGTAGATAAATGTAGAGAGAAATCAGGCAAGAAAGGAGCTAAAGGAGAATAGAAGCCTATATAGAGAGAACTGACACAGAATAATAAAGTGTATGGACTAAGGAAATGTACATGTACATAGATTCATTTCTTTTCATCAAAGATTAATTATCAGCTGGTTGTAGATTCTTCCCGGATCCTGGGAGGGGACTATGGAGGGGCTGCCCTCCCCCTCCCCCCAGTTCTCAATATCAAGGGACCTCATAGAAGTGGGATTTCACATTATTTGTGTTTTGGTGAAGGGTTTATTTCACTCAGATTATTGGTGATGTTATGTGCTACAGCTTAAATATGAACTATCCCCCATAGGCTTATATATTTGTATACTTAGTTCTTATCTGGTGGCCTCTTTGGGGAGTTATAGAAACTAAAGGAGGATAGAGCCCTGCTGGAGGAAATGGGTCAACTGGGGGTAGGCCTTAGGGGCTTCTGCTTAGCCCAGCTTCCAGACTGTTTCTGCTGAGATGTAGCCAGACACACCACAGGCTCCCATGGCAGTAGATGGGAGCCATCTTACCATGACAGACTGTGTCCTTTTAAACCATAAGATCCTCCAAAACCTCTCCTCCCATTTTCTCTTATTGGCCCCACCTTGGTATCCTCCGTTGGGTGGGTTCTTCCTGCTGTTTGCAATTTGCAGAGCCCTCTAGAAACAAGAAGTGGTCCTTTGAAGGAGTACTGTCATTTCTTTCTACCTGCCTAAGGTTCCCTAACTGTTCGTCATACGACACTGTTCCAGGGGAGACATGAACAAACATCTACTCACCCCAGAGAAGGAGCTGACAACAGACCAAAGGATGGACACCACCAAAGTCCAACTTGGTGAACCAATGGGTTTTATGGGGTTTGCTTTTAGGAATACGGGAGTCACAGGAGCAGAAATGACTCAAAGACAGCTGTATCACCAAAGTCCACCCAAGGATGGGTGAGCTCACAAAGCTGGAATCCTGGAGCACACTGCATGTGAGTGTTACAGCTCTGAGGGGAAAGGTTTCCCGGCAGTCGGGAGCCAAGGAGCACCACAAAGTCACACCACACAATAAACTTCACACAAGAGATTTACGGGGAGGGAAAAACACGGGAGGGTGGCTGCCTCTGCTCCAGTGAGAAGCAGCAGGGGATGGAGCAGAAGACAGGATTTTATAGGGTTTCTTGGGACAGTTTTCCAGGATGGGGATTGGTGAGATTTCAAGCCAACCCCAGGAATTGGTGGGTTTTCAGACTCAGGGATTGGTGTGTGTGTGTGTGTGTGTGTGTGTGTGTTTTTTTTCCTCAGGGATTGGTGGGGTTTTAGGATCAGGGATTGGTGGATTTTGGTAAGTATTCAAACCCAGAAGCAGACACAGACATTTTGCCCTATATTGTACAGCCTGCAGGCAGCTCAAGAGGCTGAAAGATGTCCTCTCCAGGTGGCTCAGCTTCTTAGACAGCTTGGCCAATCTTAGTTGCTTCTAGGCAGTTCATCTGGTCTCTGCTTCTTCCAGGCTGCTTGGTCTCAGCATCTTCCAAGTAGTTCATCTTGTCTGGAAGTGACTCTCAGCTGGCTTTATTGCTTATATACTCTTGAGGAGGGAGGGCCTTAATGAATCTGGTCCATTTTGGGGACTTCCTTAAGCCATTTTGAGTTGTGTACTTCCTGTCTTATTGTGCCTTCCTCTAGGATTCGATGTTTCAATCTGGGAAGAAACTGCCACACAACAACATTCCTTCAGGATTAAAAGGATGGGGCCAGGGAACCTAGGGATGAGAAATGAGACGCTGTGTCTGGGTGTGATAGCCAAGGCCAGTGATGGAAGCCCATGAGGAACATGTGTGAGGTACCGTTGTCTTCCCATAGGCAAAGAGCTGACTAATAACTGCAGCTACTTCTTGGTGGCCATGAGAACAGAGCTCTGTATAATTAACAGTACCCGAGCCACCTGCAAAGATGGAGGTCAGCAGCATGGGTACGGTGACTCACAGACACAAGGTCGTCTGCTAACAAAACACAGAGATGAACAGAGCGGGGCTTCAATGCCTTACCTGGTGGGCAGTGCATGAACAGCACTTGATCAGCTTCCTGGTGGCGCCCGTGAGACACAGAATATGTGAGCCCTCCACTGGCTTGTCCCATGATAGCCCAAGAAGGTAAGCAGTCTCATAGTAATGGTCTCAGCTTTTGTCCAGTGTCTGCCATGGCACTGCGACATACCCTCAGACAAGGAAGTTCAAAGGCCTGCAGGGAACGTCTGCCACTCCAGGGAGTTCCTTTCACTTTCCCTATTTTTTATTTTTTCTCTTCCTTTTCCTCTTCCTCCTCCTCTTTCTCCTCCTCCACTTCTTTTTTGAGATGAGGTCTATGTAGCTCTGGAACTATTTGGCCTGGAACTCACTATATAGAACCAGGCTGGTCTTGAACTCACAAATATCCATCTGCCTTTGCCTCCTGAATGTGTAGATAAAGGTGTGTATCCTCATGCCCAGCTTCCTCAATATTTCTTACTAAAGATTGCTTGCCCACTTTCACATGGACAAACACACAATACACACACACACATACACAACACCTATTTTTAATAATTAAATATAGCTATAGAACAGTTACAGCAACATTTTTTTTTTTTTTGATTTTTCGAGACAGGGTTTCTCTGCATAGCTTTGTGCCTTTCCTGGAGCTCACTTGGTAGCCCAGGCTGGCCTCGAACTCACAGAGATCCGCCTGGCTCTGCCTCCCGAGTGCTAGGATTAAAGGCGTGCGCCACCACAGCCCGGCAACAGCAACATTTTTTAATGGACAAGAGTTTTCAAATGAAACCAGTTATTTCCCAGTCCGTTGCCACCATCCCATAGCCTCACGTGTGTGAACAGTGTGCGTAAATGGCTAGGATGTTCACGGCATCCATGTTCATTTCAGTGAGAAAATTTTGAGTAAGATTATTATTGAAATATTTGAGTGTTCACGTGTGTATGGTATATGTGCATGTTTGTGAGGATGTGTGTTAATGGACTTGTGTAGATGTGCACATGGAGGCCTGATGTTGACATCAGTGTCTTTTTCTCAGTCGCTGTCTGCCTTATTCTTTGAGACGGGGTCTCTCACTGATTGCCTAGGCTGCCCGGCCAGTGAGTCCCAGGCACTCGCCTGTTCCCCCCCCCACACCCTTGTGTAAATGTCCTTATGACTTTAAAATTATAACGATTTAAAAGCCTCCAGCTATACATCAAGTGACCCCACCTCTGGGCTAGTGTGGTGGGTGGCTGTGACAATTACTTGTCCATCTGTGTTGTCACTGCTGGGTGACTCAGGCTACCGAGGCATAATAGACTACCATGTGCATCAGAAGAGTTTGAATTGTGTCATTTAGAACGGTTGCCATCCTTGACCACTGCTCAGTGTGGACTCAGAATAGACCATGTCCAAGGGTGAGAAGCACAGGGAATTATGCATTTTAAGGGTAAGCTAAATAAAAGAGAAGGGAAGGAGGACTCTTCCAATTTGTCTCCAACAGCTCTTAAGACCCACAGATTACGGTTACCATATCAAAATGGCATACTGTGTTCTTTCTGTTTTAAAAAGTTCTGTTACAAAGAGAAAGAAGAACAGTGGCAGGACCTAAGGTCACTTTCCATCCTTTGCAGATACTGTCTTCATCCTTTCTGTGTACAGTGAGGAACGGGTGGAACAGGGCCTAAAATGTACCAGGCAAGGCTTCTCCTGATAAGCCACAACCCAAACCTTCATTGAGGAGCCTAGGCAGGTGCTCTACCACTGAGCCACACCCCAGCCCCTCACTGGGGGATTCAAGGTAAGTGCTCTATCAACTGAGATATATCACTAGCTCTGTTTCAACGTTTGATTTTCTGATAGCATCTCACTGATTTGCCCAGACTGGCCTTGAATTCACTCTGTAGCCCAGGCTAGTATTGAACTTGCCACCCTCCTGCATTAGCCTTCTGAGAAGCTGGGTTGATGGACCTAAGCTACCATGTCTGGCTGCTGTTCTTTTTCTCTTCCTTTTTTTTTTTTTTTTTTTTTTTTTTTTTATACAGGGTTTCTCTGTGTAGTTTTGGAGCCTGTCCTGGATCTCACTCTGTAGCCCAGGCTGGCCTCTAACTCACAGAGATCCGCCTGGCTCTGGCCCCCTAGTGCTGAGATTAAAGGCGTGCGCCACCACCTCCTGGCCCATTTTTTTTAATTCTCTACTTCTGTTAGTCTAGACGACATGCGCTGCTTCCTCCACCATTGATCAGGCTCTCTCAAGCATAGTCTGCAGGTCAAGCCTCTTGCAGCAGTTCTAGAACCATCTAAGAATGTGTTTTCATCTGCTGTTGTTCTGTTTTCTGGTTGAGTTTATCTTCCATGATTCCTGTGTCTCTCTGCAATCATTTCAAAGTTTGTATTATATCACTGAGGGTTACTGCTTTTGTTTTTTGATCTTCTATTTTCAATTATGTGCACATATGGGTCTGTGCATGGGTTTATGCACATGAGCAAGGTGCTTGCTGAGGCCAGAAGACAGAGTTGGATCTCTTAGAGCTGCCTGATGTGAGTGCTGGAACCAAACTCAGGTCCTCCATAAGAGCAGCAAGTGTTCTCAGCTGCTGAGCCATATCTCCAGCCCTACCTGCTCTGGTTTGAATGAGGAATAGGTGGTATATATCTCACTCTGGCTCCATTCTTTTGTCATGTGCTCCTAGTGCCCATGATTTAACCACACCAAAACACCCAGAGGACCCTGGATATGGCCAACTCTTTTCTTTGCTTAAAATGCTTTTGCCCTCTCTGGCTACTCTGAGTTTCTGTCCATTCCCAGTTTATAGCACCATCCCTCAGAAATGTTCACCAATAACAATCTACAGCCTGCCTCCAGTCCATCCCAGTGCTGGTGCAAACCTTTGTAATCACATCTTTCTTAAGTTTACTCATTTTCATATACATTTCCCCCCTTAACTCCAAAATGAACTCCTAAAATTCTGGAACTTTCCTTTATTAAATCTGTCCACCTTTGCCCTCTCTACCCAGTTTGATCAGCAAGTGCTGTATAACAAGTCATTCTGAACCCGCAGGCATATAAGCAATTCTCTCTTTGAGGCTCCTATGTCTGCTGGTTGGCTGGGGCTTTGGAGCTGAGTTTGCCAGGTGGGTTCAGTTCAAGTCTGTTATAAATGCCTCTTATTATTCTGGGATAAGCAGGACACTGAGGGCATATTCTACTCATGCCAATTATCTAAGTGCAAGAATGCAAGCTCAACCAGAGGGAGACATCACATGACAGTTCCAGGTTACACTCTGTTATAGAGGAAGTCAAAGGGAAAAATTACACAGCTAATCAGATCACCTTCATAATCAACAGCAGAGAGAAACAAGCACAGCCATGCTACCTGCTCACTCTCTCTGCCAGCTTTCTTTAGTGTTACACAGTTCAGGGCCCAGCCTAGAGAATGGTGCCACCCATGGTAGGCTTTCAATTAACAGTCAAGACAGTCCCATATGGACATATCTACTGGCCAATCTGACCTAGATAATTCCTAGATTGAAACTCTCTTTTCAAGTGATTCTTGGTTATTGCCTATTGACAGTTAAAACTAACCATCTCATCTACTAACCACCCATTGACCAAAATCTAGTCAAGCCCAAAATCAAGTGGTAAAGGAAATACACAGCCCACCATGAATCTAAGCATGTAGAGGAGGATTTCACACCACTAATTCAGTCTTTTCCAAGGTATTTGCAAAATCAATAAAAATAAAATATTCAAGAGATCCCAGAAAGTTCTTCCCTGATTACATAGAATTTAATAACTGAAACTTTATGTAGACGTGTGACCAAGACTTGAGAGTATAAGGTTAAGATGTGGTTGAGCCTCTGGGGGGCCAGGGACCTTGGCTCCCTGAGTGGCAGAAACTGTAGGATAACAAAGTCTAGTATCAGGAGATGAGGGTCATCAGAGGCAATGCCTTAGACAACGCATCCCTTCGAAGGGATTAGTGGAGATCTCTTGGGGTCCTGGTTAGTCTCTTGAGAGAACTAACCACCCCCTGCACTTGATCCAAACAGCTGGTTTTCTTCCTTCTTTTCTATACTGTGATGTAGCCAGAGGACAAACCAATTGGGCCACCCAACCTTTTAACCTGTGAGCTAAACAAATCTCTTTTCTTTATAAAGTATCTAGCCTTGAGTATTTTGTTACAGCAACAAAAACAGCTTAATGCAGTGAGACTGCGATATCCCCAGCATTACCCTCACTCAGGCTTGTATTTCTATCGGTATGTGGTATGTGTGGGTGAGCAAGTATGTGTGTGGGGGTGTCAGAGGTTGATGTGTGCTCATCACCCACTCTCCACCTTATTTTTTGAGACAAGGTCTCTTATTGAATCTGGCTTTTGCCAGTTTAGCTAGACTGGCTGGCCAGTGAGTCTCTAGAATCAGGCCCTAACAATGGTTCACATGACCACATCTGGAGGATTCAGATTCATGTCCCCATGCTTGCATGAAAACACTTCACTAACTGCAGCATCTGTCCAGCCCTATCCCTTGGCTCGGTTTCCCATGAAACACAAATTGTATGAGATCAAGCTACGGGGTAGAGAGACCAGAGCCTGGTGACAGACTCAAGGCACCCCCACTATACTCTCTAGCTGTGGCAGGGTGGAGCAAGCCAGCTACATCCGGGTAAGACCACCTCCATGCCCACTACAACTTTCTCTACTGATGCTTCCCTTGGGTCCTCAAATGCAGCAAAGGCAGGAGCCATATTAAATTCTCACAGGCCGTCTCATTTTATTAGGCTGTCGCTGTAAGATGGGTTTTGGCATCTGTGTGGGAATTATTAGCAAAGCTGGTGGAGGAACAAATATTTTGGCTCATTATTGTTCCTTTATTAATGTTTGTTCTTTTGATTATTTGTGGGATTCTATTAAAGGGAACCAAGGAAGATGAGGCCCTTTCCAGGTTCCTATTCATAGACGTTAATCTTAGAGATATTTTTTCTGCAATGAAATTTGTTTTCAAGGTTCATTTTTTTGTTGTTGTTGTTGGGCTGGTACAGCATTTGCCTTCATAATTTTTAGAGAATCAGGGGTTGGGAATAATATTCATAAATATTTATTTCCTGAACAGTTTAATTCTTGTGCTTAAAATGTTTGGGGGAAATTGGAGGGGAATAGATTTTCATTATGTGGCAGAAAAGTTGAATAATTGAGTTGGCACTTTGGAAAATCTGCTAGAGAATTAAAGAGAGTTAAGGGGCATTTGAGGTGGTGCAGTTAAGAAACTTCACTCACCATGTGGAGGAGGAGGGCCAGGAAGGGCCAGGAAGGGCCAGGAAGGCAATTTGAGCAATGGATGCTTTGATCTTTCTAAGTAATGATTCCTACTGCACGAAGCTAGAGTTATCAATTATTCATTGTTGTATGAACTTTTCCGGGGAGATGTGAACAAATGTCCACTCACCCCAGATGGGCCAATGATGGAAGACCCAAGCAATGACGCCCTCAAAATCCAACTTGAGGAAAAAATTTGAGCTTCCTTACAGAGCATAGGTGAAGGGTGATTGGCAGGAGTATAGATGACCCCAAAGCAGCTGCCTCACGGTGAAATCCCATCCCAGTGTCACTGACCACCTCACGGAAGCTGCAGCATGGAGGCCCCCTTCCAGTCACTATCCCATGTCCTGTGTACCCTGGCATCTCCCAAGATCACTTGCAGCTGTGAGAGGGCAGGAGGGAGTAACAGCTGGACTCCCAGGTGAGGCTCCTCTGACCCTCCCTTCCTTTCTAAACCAGGGTGTGTCAATAGCTTTGCTACCATTACCATGGACCTGGCTACCTCCTCATTTTTCTGTTTATTTTGTTACCATGGCTACAGGGCCAAGGTAATCTCTACTTCAAGATGGCAATGGTTATATCATGCCATATGACAACACTGTAGACAGCCATATTGCTAATTGCTATAATAGGCTGTCCCCTCGGCTACTGTGGCTTATGTACTCAGTGTTGGAGGGCAATACTCCAAGGCATGTATACAAAAGACGAGGTTTGGCTGAGAAATATTTCATTATGATCTTCTTTAAAATATAATAACCCCAGAGACTGTTTCAAAGTGATGTGTCTCAGCTCCATGGTTTAGATACAATGATAGTGTTTATCAAGCAGCTTGAGGGTCTTGAATTTCTCTTCATTGGCACTGTGGACCTTCTTGGCCAGGTGCACTTTGGGGTGCTGGGCAGCATCTGTGGTCTCTAACCAACAGACATCACGTGACACCCCGAAATGTCAGGAGACAGTGCCAAATGGTTCCTTGAGTGGGGGAAAAAATCGTCCCTCATTGAGAACCACTCACTGCTTTGGTTCACTCTGAGAGCGATTGTGTGGTCGGTAATCAGGGAGATGCAAATCAGAATAGAATTAAGCGCTATTTCCTCATTACGTTTGCAGAAACAGAAAGCTGGACCATGCCGGATGCTGGCAGCCCTGCAGGGTGACGGCTTGTTCCAGGAGGTGAGGAGCACTTAGGACGAGGGATTGGGGGGAACAGTTGGTGAATTCTATTCAAAGTAACAACACTCATGTCCAGTGGGTTGAGACACATCTCAGGATTGGCTCAGGAGGAAGAGACACACTGTTGGGAGTGGAAGCCTTTGAATGGTGTGCTCTTTGCCAAATGGCCAGAGTGACAGGACACGGCACAGCCTTAAATGCAAAGCATCACCCACAAAATGGACACATGTGTATGTGCCGATGGACATGAAATGACATCAATCAATGCCTTAATTAAAATCAATGATTATTTTATTACCATCTATTAATTAACAAAAAGGAAAATTACCCAGGATTTGATGTACATAAATAATTGTACTTATGTTTTCAACTTCCACACATGGATGGTAATTTGAAATGTTGATTTTTCTAAAGAGATTTGCACCCCTCCTGTTGGCTATATTGATATTGGGGAAGGTGGGGCCCTTGATAGTGACAGAATCTTTATTGTTTCACATGGGCAATAAATGCTCAGGGAGGTAGAAAAGCAGCCACCACCAAAGCCACATTTGACCCATGTCTTTACCTCATGAACTGGAAAAATGAACTTCAGGACCACAGATAGGGAGGGTGAGTGCTGAGTTTACTAAGGTGAAGAGACAAGAAGCAAGCCGAGCTCCTCCTGTACTGCAGGAGTGAGTCCCAAATATGAGGGTTCCTGTGATGACAGTTAACCTTGAGTGTCAGTTGACACAATATACAATCACCTGGGCAGAGTCCTCATGAGGGATTGTCTACCTTGGGTTTGGCCCGTTGGTTTGTACGTGGGGATTTTCTTTGAATTGAGTTTTAATTGATGCAGGAAGACCCAGCCCACTATGGGTGGTGCCAGTCCTTAGGCAGGGGATCCTGAACTCTAGTGGAGAAACTGAACTGAGTGTGAGCACACAAGAGAGCATGCACGCATTTCTCTCTGCTCCTGACTGTGGCTGTGACACTGCAAGCTGTGTGAAGTTCCTGCCTTGACTTCCCCACTGTGATGGACTGGAACCTGGAACTGTGAGCGCAAACAAACCCTTCCTCCCCTAAGCTGCTTTATTTTGGCCAGGGTGTTATACCACAGCCGCAGGAAAAAAAAACAAACAAACAAGTCCCCATCTAGGAGTTAGTAAAGCTTTACTGGAGAGAGGCAGGAGCATGGGAGGGGTGAGTGGGTCAGTCCGGTTGTCCCAGTCCTGGGGTGTTCACTCAGCTGGGTTTTAGTCATAGCCCCCTGTAACACTTCCAGACTCTGGTGCTCATTTTAGGATGTGTAAGAAGACAGAAAACGCAATAGGAGCCAGAATGCTAAACACCTCTGGCATCACTAGCCTCTGTGCAGGAAAGAGCCACAGAACATTTCCAGTTTCTGGCCATAGTCAAGGGCTGGCTTCAAGACTGTCTTGTTTTTGAGGATCCCCTTTCCCTAAAACTGCCTGACCACTTTCTATCTCTCATGACTATTACGCTACTGAAACCATAGGCCTAAGAAATTGGAGTTTCCCCAGAAATCTTACTTTGGGAATAAGAGGAAAAAGGATGAAGGCTGGTGTTAGCCGGACAGGAATTTGTCTCCCAGGAGAAGAGTCCACATGGTTCTGACAACTTGTTAGCTCACCTTGTAGGAGATGCTGAAGGTAAGACAGTGATGGGCTAGTGATTGACAGGACCATACCTTGATGGGAACTGCTTAGATATAAATCCTTCTTGCCTCACATCAGGACCCCAAAGACAGCCTTGAGGGATTTTTTTTGGGCGGGGGGGAATCATCAGACTTATATTTGTGACAATGTGGCTACATTGAATACATCTCCATTTTTTAAATTTTCCTTATTGTCTCTGTAAGTTGCCTATTGAAGCCATATGGTTGAGTCTAGACTGTTGGACTTGGGCTCTAACATCTCTGGTAAGGACAGATATTTTCTTCCATCACACACAGGTATGTAATGCTGCCTCCAGCTGTTTCTTCTTCCTTTGTTCTCACTGAAGGGATAGACAGTGCCCCCTCAGACCCTGTCCCAAGTGTGGCCACAGCCACCCCATGACTGGAACAACATAGCCAACTTCCCTGAAATAATCAACTCATAAGGAGCAAATGCTGACTCACATCTGCTTCGAATCACACACATGGCAGGAAGAGGTCTGTGTCCTTCATGGCCATCAGGGAGTTAAAGCCAGGGAGGAGCTGGGATGCTAATATCCCCTTCAAGGGTATACTTCCAAAGACCTAAATGCCCCCGCTAAGCCCCACCTCTTCAAAGTTCTACCCACTGCTCACAAGCTTCCACACAACCTCTGCGGAATGCTCTAGTCCTGGCTCTCACCCCTTCTCCTGTGTGGCCCCTATACCGAATTCCTGTCTATTCCAGTTTTCTTTCCTTATTGTGATCAAATACCCTGACAACAAGCAACTTATGGATGAAAGGTTTTATTTTAGCTCAGGATTCCAGGTTACAGTCCATCTCTGAGGGGAAGTCACAACAGGAGCTTGAGACAGCTGGTCAGTCACATTACATCTGCGGTCAAGAGCGAGAGAAATGCATGCATACATGCATGCGTGCTCACCTGCTTGCTTGTGCCCATTTCCATTTCTCTATTCTCATACAGTTCAGACCTCCTGCCTACAGGTTGGTGCCGCCTATAGTGGGCTGGGTCTTTTCACATCAATAATTTTAAGACTATCCTCCGTAGACATCTTCTCGGACCAACCTAATGTAGACAATCCCTACTCAAGAATCCCTTTCCAAGTGGTTCTAGGTCATGCCAAGTTGATTGTTAAAGCTAACCTCCTCACACTGACTTGGTTCTCACCTTTCTCTCTTACAGCTTCTTTTATTGCATTTATCACTGTTAACACATCTTTGCATCATTAGCATCCGACTCTCCGGAGACCTCATGCTCTAGTGAGCCAGACACCAAGTCTTTTTGCATTGACGTCAGATCTACAGCACCCAGCATAGCACCTGGCGGGGAGTGGTGTTCGATAAATATCAATACTGTTAACTAATATTAATGAAAGTGCTAAATGGCTTCCAACACACCTGTGGGGGGATGCATCAATACTCTCTAAATGGATGCAAAAATCATCCTGATGGCTTCCCCTCTTCTGAGCAGAGGCAGGTTTCAGATAGAAACACATGTGGAAAATAAGCTATCACCAGATGTCTTTGAGGGACTGTGTGTGTGTATGCATGTGCATATATATGTGTGTTTCTCTCTGTGTGTTTGTATATATGTATGTGCATGCATATATATTTGAGTTTCTGTGTGTGTGTGCCATATATGTGTATATATATATATATGTGTGTGTGTGTGTGTGTGTGTGTGTGTGTGTGTGTGTCTGCATTTATATGTGTGTTTCAATCCGTGTGTTTGTGTTTGGTTATATGTATGTGCATGCATATACATGTGAGTTTCTGTATGTGTTTCTGTATACATATGTGTGTGCATATATGTGTGTGTTTTACTTTGTGTTTGTGTTTAGGTATATGTATGTGTGTATATATAGGTGAGTTTCTGTGTTTGTTTGTGTATACGTATGTGTGTGCATATACATGTGTGTTTCACTCTCTGTGTGTATTTGTGCATATGTATGCATGTACGGATATATTTGTGTTTCTGTGTATGTGTATTTGCACACATATGTGTTTCTCTCTGTGTATGTGTATATATATGTGTGTTTCTCTTTCTCTCTGTGTATGTATATGTATGTGTGTGCATATAAATGTATGTTTCTTTGTGTGTGTGTGTGTTGTGCATATATGTGAAGGTCAGAGGTACTCTGTCACACTTTGCTTTTTCCCTTGGGACAGGATCTCTCCCTAAAACTGGAGCTAAGTCAGCAGCCAGCAAGTGCCAGCCATCCTCCTGTCTCCATCCTCTCATCCCCCAGAGCTAGGGTTACAGGGGTGCTGGCCCACCTGCCTTTTTGTTTTCAGTGTGGATAGTGGAGATTGAAACTCAAGTCTTCACAGTTTGCAGCAAGCACTCTTACAGAGCCAGTTCAGCAGCTCCAAGCTCTTGGCTTTTGAGCCATTTGTTACTGTGTGTGGTACAACCTTGCCTATCTTTGGGAGTGTGCAGCTGAGGATACAAATGTCCCGAGTGGTCCTTCACGGTTATTATCTCAGTCCAGACTAGGAAGAAATATAGTGCTGTTCTCAGTGGTAACCGATCAGCTGAATTCTCCCTAGCAGAAGGTTTCTACACAGAGCAGATAAGACCAGAAAAAAATGACACCCGTTTAAGCAAAATGAAACATCTTCATATTTCAAAACCCCAAGCTGCAGACGAGAGACTCTGATGACCACTGACTGCAAATGTAGAACATGATGGGAGAGATCACCAATCTTCAATAAAATATTTTTTCACTTGTTTCTTAAAAAATTATTTACTGAGCACCTATTTTGCACCTGGCATATCTCTGTGTGATTTATTGGGGAAAGAAGGGAGTGAAAATTCCCACTGACCTAGAGTTTACATCCAAGGGAGATGCATGTGATAAACAGCCAACATAGCACATAGATAAAGGGGACAACATGATAGAAAGTTATAGGTGAAGAAAAAAATATATATCTGGTTTTAAAAGGGTGTAACCAAGAAAACTAGGCCAGAAACAATGAGAAGGATGTTGCCCTTTCAAATGAGTGGTCAGGAGGGCTCTTATTGAAAAAGTAAAAAAGCGAAAATGTGAAGGAGGGAAAGAGAGAGAGAGAGAGAGAGAGAGAAAGGGAGAGAGAGACAGAGACAGAGAGAGACAGAGACAGAGAGATACAGAGAGATATGCAGTAACCAGGGAGGGAAATATTGTCTGCAAAAGCTCTGGTGTGGGGTCAAGCCTGGTGTTGTACAGAAATATTCTCTGAACTGATCCTGAACTTTTGTTTTTCTCCTTAAGACTCAGGAAGTGAACAACTCACAAGTCCCAGAAAGTTCTGAAACTTACAGGATCACAAAGGTTTACTGCTCCCAGGTTGTATAAGCAGTAGAGACCATCTGTATAAGGTTTAATGTGCTGAACTGCTTGCAAGTCCTGCAGAGAGCTCCAGGGCTCCATTCTTCATGAATCAACACCCAAGCCAGTGTGGGCTCTTTGGAGACTCCCTTTGAGTCACCTCTGATCCTGTGACTCCTCACCCACACTCCTGTAAATGTCATTAGTTAGGCATACTTGGACTAGTAGACTTGCTTTTCTGGCTGTCCTTGTTGTACAGAAATATACTGGCTGTTCTATATCTGGGGTGAGATGTTTGTTTACATTTTCCCAGGAAAAGTCACACACTACCAGGGGTGCTTGAAGTACAGTGGAGGATAATGGACTGGCTGGGTGGGTAGAATTAATACTTATGAATGGGAAAGCAGAGAAGAAGGGAGAAGAAAGTGTATGTATGTATGTGTGTATGTGCATATCTGTGTATGCATGTACACACACTAGTGTATATGTGCGTACATATGTGCATGTGCGTTAGTCTGTATGTATAGGTGTGTGTGTGCATATGTATGTATGTGTTTGTATGTGTGTGAATGTACGCAAATGTACATGTGTATATCTTCATGTTGAGGCCAGAGGTCAACCCTGGGTGTTGCTCTTCAAGAGCCCTTTTAGGTCAGATTGTATATGTATTTATGGTAAAGGTATTTCAATTTTGTTTTAAGATATTTTCATAATGAGGTTCTAAGAGACTGCTGTGTACAGAATTAATTGTGAGACACTGAGAAATTGTTTTGTTTTACCCTGCAGCTGAGGATCCAGGCCAATGTTCCCAGTTCCTAGACCCACTGGCTAAATTAAGAAACTGTAGATGAACCCAGTTCTCAAATAAGATAGGATGAGATCCTTGATCCCACTACTCTGGGTTAAGACCAGAAGGGGAAGCTAGAGGTTCAAAGGGGGAGAATTGGGTAGGGTATCACTGGTTTGTACATGGTAGGAATCTGGCTTGGGTATCACTGGTTTGTACATGGTAGGAATCTGGACTGGGTATCATTAGTTTGTACATGGTAGGAAAATGGGTTGGGTGTCACTGGTTTGTACACGGCAGGAATCTGGGCTGGGTATCACTTGTTTATACATGGTAGGAATCTGGGTTGGTTATCACTTCCTCAAGTGGTCCCCAAACTCCGTCCGTGGGGATTGGCTACAAAGGAGGGACACATCAGCATATTTTAGCTACGAGTCACCTGAGTGTGGACCCCAGAGAATTTCAGGTATCTTTAGATGGGGCCTGAAGAGATGGGAGGTTTTAGAATGTTCTGGAAGTGATGCGGGCCTTTGAGGGTTGTAGTCCAGTCCTGATTCTGGCTCCTTCCTCTCTGTGTCCCGCCCATCAAGATGTGGAGGTTCATCACCACGGACTTCCGCCGCCATGTCTTCCTGCCCTTGCGCCTCCCCCTGCCGTGATAGACTCCCCTGAGACCCTGAGCAAGACAAACCCCTTCTCCTCTGAGTTTCTTCTTCAGGAGTTTGGCTACAATGACTACAATCAGAGCCATACAAAGTTTGTTTTTTTTTTTCAAAAACTTTTATTTTATTACTTATTTATGTGTATGTGCGAGTATGTGCATGTGTGGGGAGGTACCCTCAGAGGCCAAAATAGGGCATCATTTCCCCTGGAGCTAGAGTTACAGGAAGTTGTGAGTAGTTTGACATGAGTGCTGGGTACTGAGTTTGGGTCCCCTGGAAGAGCAGGGGTACTCCTAACTGCTGAACTGTCTTTATAGCTCCATGATTTTTTTGAGACCAGATCTCCTATAGCCTAGGCTAGCCCAGAATTCATTAAAAGCTCAGGATGACCTTGAACTCAAGATCCTCCTGCTTTCACCTCAGAGCGCTGGAATTACAGGTGTGCATCACTATGCCCAGTTCCTGTGGCTCTGGGGATGGAACCCAAGACTTCCTGAGTGTGCTACAGCCCCAGCCTTGTAGATGTAGAGATATTTGACTTACTGCTACAAAACTCATATTATCTCATTGAAAAGCCTTGGAGACACTGAAACTAAATGAATCCTTATATACAGCATATAATGAGAGAACCAGGTTCAGAACCCAGTTTCCAACTTCCTTATGCCTTAACTGCGACTTCCTTGGTGTCCATGATTTCCCGTGTGTTAGTGTGTTTATACACCTCCCTGCCTCCCTGTCTCTGTGTAAGAGACTTAATCTCTGCAGGCCAATCTTGGTCCCTGAAGGAGGAAGGAGCGATAGTCCCTGAGCATCCTAGGCCCTCCCACTCCCCATGGCTGCAGACTCTTCATGGCCCTTGAAGGAGGAAGGAGTGATAACCTCTGAGCATCCCAATCCCCATCTCCCCCCATGTCTGAAGTCTTCATTTGTGGATTCCAGTAACTGGCTGGAAACACTGCCTCTGGACTGAGTCCACACAGGTGTTTTCCTCGTGTTCCTAAACAACATGGTACAGTGTCTGATGGGAGGGTGCGCACAGGTCATACTCAGACCATGCTTTTTTTTAGGGATGTGAATATTCGTGGAGTTTGATAGCTGCAGAGAAATCCAGTTTTCCCATGATACCAAACGATGACTGTGTAACACTGTTCTTCTTCTTCTTGCTTCTGTTTTTTCTCTTTCATCTCCTCCTATTTCTTCTCTCCATACTCTATGATTCCACCCCTTTGTCCCTGTGAAGTTTGATGACAATGGTATCCTATGGTGCTGTGGTCAGTCACTGACACCTGGCGCAGTTCTCTTGTCTTCAGTTGGTCCCTTTGGGAAACCCCTTACCTGTCCCAGTTCTGTCCCTGTCTCAGAGAGTTCTCTAATATTTTCTTGCCATTCCTATCAGATCAGATGTGTCCAGGGCCCTTCATATGTTAGGCAAGCACTGTACCACTGAGCCACACCCCAGCCCCTCACTGGGGGATTCTAGGCAGGTGCTCTACCACTGA